TGCCTCAGAGCCTTTGCACCCGCTGTTCCCCCTGACAGCGGCCCCTCCCCAGATCTCTGCAGAGCTGCCAGCGCCATCTCTCGGGCCCACTCGGCAGAAAGGCCGACAGCGACCCTTAAGAACCCCACCACCATGTCTCTGTCACATCCCGAAACCATCATGCCCATTTGTCTGGGTCACTGCCCCTCTGGCAGGGGTGAGCCCCCGGGGTCGGGAGTGTCTGCTTCCCTCCAGAGGGAAAGGGCCCTTTGAGGCGGCTTGGGGGAGGCGTGTGAGCAGAAGCCAGCTGGCAGGGAGGGTCAGGAGGCTTGGGGCAAACCACTCGGGGTACTCCGCAGGGTGGGGCTGCAGACCCCTCCCACACTCTCGCCAGGATGGGGGTGCCTCTGTGGGGACCCATCAAGCGGGCCATGCCGTGATATGAACCCCAGTCCAGATGTCTCCGGGCCCCATTCCCCCTGCCAAGGTGAGAAGTGGGAGACCAGCAAGCGGCCTGGTGCTTTCAGGCTCACACAGCCTCGGGCAGTGCCCTAGTGGTCCAGGAGCCCTGGCTTCCTGGCCGGCCTTGCCCAGGGGGTGGAACCTCCCAGGCTTCCTAGTCACTGGGTCCCAGGACCCAGGGCATCTACAACCCAGAGAGGCCCTGCCACTTGACACCAGCAGGGTCTTCTCACCTTCACGGTGCAACCCCTTCCCTATAGCCCAGGCTCTGGCGGGGACCTGGGGGCCGCAAGGAATGGGGCAGATGGCTCCTGGGCTGGGCTTGGCCGGGTGCCTCGGGCATCAGCAGCTCTCCTCTCCATCCTTCCAAGGAACTGGCTCAGGTTCCTGCAGGGCTGCCTGGGGTGGGGAAGCCTGAAGGCCCTGGACCAGATGCCAGCCTCCCCAGCAGGTGTGCAGGCCCAGTGATGACAGGTCCCCTGCCCACCAAAGGCCTGAGCCTCAGATCAGGGCAGGCAGCCTCCTGGCAGCAGGGCGGGCAGGAGGGGGCCAGAGGCCAGGTCAGAGCCAGCCCACCTTTCCGAGCTCTGTGTGTTAGGAAGATGGGGTCCCGCCCTTGGGCACCTCCCCTCCCTAGGTGGGATGGGCCTTCTTGGCTGTTTATGACATTGGGTGGGTCCCTGACCTCCCTGAGCCTCAGTTTCCCTCATCTGGCTCATTCAGTGCTGAGTACAGGTGACCTAACCCCCAAAGAGGGGCCCCTCATTCATTCATCCAGGAGTAGGTCCCCATACCACCACACCCTGGCCGGCACCTGCAGCCTGGCTCCCTGGGAAGGGCTTTCTTGCAGGGACCAGGCCAGGAGGAGGGCCGTAACCAGTGCTGGAGGGGCAGGCCCTGCTCCCCTCCCTGCCCAGACAGGCCTGACTGCCAGGAACCCTTGGGGACCGGGCGGGGGGCGGGCAGAGCGGGGTGTCAACTGTGTAATCGAAGCTCAGGGTTTTGCCAAGGCTGCCTGGAAAGCCGGCCAGCCTGGAAGTCATGTGCCCAGGGCTCAGGCAGCTCCCCCCGCCCCGCCCCAATCAGACACCTCTGTAGAGAGGGGACAGACCCACTGAGGAACACCAAGGCCAGCAAATCAGCTTGGGCCCTGCACCCCTCAGCCACAGCTGCAGGTCAGGGATGAACTGGGCCCGACGAGCTCCTCTCCCTCCCCTTGCACTGTGGGCCGGCCGGGCCTGACCGACACCATCCCTGCCGCCTGCCCAGGATCCTGGGCCCCACCGCTCACAGGGCGCCCTCCCCGGAGGCCCCCGTGTGCCTCCAGCTCAGTGCGCACCCTGTCCTGCTCCAGCCCGGGCCTGTGAGGTGCCAGCGTCCACAGACCCGGGTGCCCTTCCCAGCCGCAGTGCCCATGGCCAGGGTCACGCAGGCAGGTGATGGCCCCCCAGCCCCTGCCTGTCCAGCCTCCACCGCCCCCTTGGGAGCCACCCAGCCTGTCCCCTTCGGATAGCATGGGGATCCCCCCAGCCAGGGTCTGGATGCCCAGAGGGTTGGGTGGGGCTCCCAGGTGGGTTCACTTCCCTTTTCTCAGAAGCCGAGGCACCAAAGCCACGCCAAGGTTTCCTTTTGGGGGCTGCACTGGAGGAAAGAAACAGCGAGGCCCTGACAGCTGCGGCAAGTGGGTTTGGATCTGCCTCCCAGACGCTGCCCCGGAAGCTGGGCCGGCCTCAGGCAGGTGGGTGAGCAGCCCGGAGAGGACGCCCGCCCACCACCTTGTCGGCTTGGCCAGCACCCACCGGCCCCCAGGAGGCCTGGCCGTGAGCAATCACAGCGCGGGGTGTACTGTGTCGCTCCCGTGGGTGTGGGCGCCTCCGAGCAGAGATGCTCGCACCCCCGAGGGCCATAGCGCGTTCACGTTTCCGGTTCTCTCCGTGATGATTTCTGGGTTCTGTGCAACCCCAAGGAAAACCCCTGAGGGCTGGAGGTGAGCAAGTGGTTCTAAAGGAGCCTCGATACTAAACTGGTCAAGATATCAAAAGCTGAGTGGAGATGGGGGCTGGCCTGGCAGAGCACAGTCAGAGCCCCTGGACCAGGGGAGCCTCTGGGACTGGGGCTGCTGGAAGAAGCCTGGGCCTGGCCCAGAAGCTGGCAGCCTCGAGGAGGGCAGGACAGGGTTTGCGGGGTCGGGCCCTCCACGATCTTCAAGCAGCCTGTCCCCTCTGCTCCAGCCCCAGGCCGTCCACACAGCTGACAGCGCCAGCAGCCTCAAGGCGGGGCTGGGGATCCTGCCCGTGGGAACAACCCCATCCTGGTCCCAAGAGACCCTGGGCCAGAGGAGCCCCCCTCTCCCAGCCCCAGCCCCACCGACAGGGCCAGTACTGACCGGCAGGACAGATCCCACCCCGGCAGAGGGGCTCGCAGACACCAGGGGCACCAGTGGCACAGACCACCCCCAGCAAGTGGGTCCCCAATTCCACGAGCCCCTTGCCTTCCCAGCAGGCTGCAGTGCCTGGCGGCTCAGTGGGGGGCGCCTCGCCCTCCCCAAGCTGGACTGGGTCCCACACTAAGGCGAGCTCTGGGAGTGCTCAATGGACGGTCTGGAAGACGGACCGACAGAGGATGGGGGGTAAATGGGCAGGGTGCACCCTCAGCTGGCAAGAGGGGGAGCCGTGATCATGGTGTCACATGGATCACTGTCACCAGGGTGGGGGGCGGGGGCTCGTCCTCAAGCCTGGGTGCGGGGCCGCTGCCCGAGTGCCCCGCTCCGCGGAGAGGCAGGGTGAGCAAGAGAAGAGCCCCACGGAGCCTGGGAGGACCCGGGCAGTGCACACCGAGGGGGGCCACCCCGGGGAGGCCTGGGCCTCAGCGGCAGCTCCAGGGGGAGGCGCCAGGCCCCAGGCAGGCCACGAAGGCCCGCTGACTTCCTGAGTGGCCGAGCCCGGAGCCCGCACCCCAGCTCCTGCCCGCCCGCCGGGGGAAAGGCCGACTTCACTTCCTCCAGCTTCGCTTTCCAAAACCTCCTGCCTCTGCTCTAAGCTTTGGCCCCCGGACGCCCTTCTGTCCAACTCTGCTCCCAGGGCCCACCAGCAGGCATGTGACCCGGGACCTGGGCCGTGGGACCCAGGGACAGGCCTCTGGGGGCTCCAGCACCTGCCCCAGCACAAGATGCCCAGCACAGGGCTCCCGTGGAGGCGGGGCAGGGCATGGCCAGACGCTCCACGGACTGCCTTTCACACTGCAGCCTGGCCCACGTGTCCACACCTGGACTTGGCCGTGGCTCCCATCCGCCACCTCACCCTGCACCTGTCAGGCCGGGGCCCAACCGCAACACCTCTGTTCTCCGTACCTGGAACACCTCCCACCCCCTTCCCCTGGCAAACTTCTCATGCTTCAGAACCCCTTCCAGCCTCTTGGGGCCGCTGCCAGACATGGCCCCAGACTCGTGCTGGCAATGCCCCCCAGGACCTGGCTCCCTGCTCCTCCCCCCAGGGGCCCCTGAGGGCACAGCGTGTTTCCCACTCCCCTGGGGGCAGCAGGGTCCGAGAACGGGGTAGCAAGGCCAAAAGCTAGGAGGGAAGCACCTGAGCCCCTCATGCGGCCACCTCCCCACAGGAAATGCAGGGGGAGCTATGCAGGGACCAGAGGCCCCTTCTCCCCAAACCTCTTCTCTTACCCCAGACCACCCAGCCCAGTAAACACAGAATACCCATTTAATACAAAACAATTTAATTGAAATACCTGTATAAAAAAATATGATTTCCAGACATCTCACTTTTGAACTGAAAGAAAACCCTATCCGCAGTGCCTACGCACACCGGGATCACACAAACACAACTGCTGAAATAAATTAAAGGCTTGAGACTCTGTCCCCCCACCCCCCAGCCTCCAGAGCCAACAAGCAGACTGTACAAGGTCAATAATTTAAAACCCACCCCCCAAGGGCGCAGAGCCACAAGGTGGCGGAGTCACCCCCTCCCCTTAAATTAGCCACTGTACAAGTCCACCTTCTGACAGACACGGGTAGAATTGGGACCTGGGGTCCACACGCACAGCCGCCCCCTCCTCTGCCCACAGGCCTTTGAGGAGCTAGGGCTGCTGGGAGGGAGAAACCTCAACAAATAAATTAAACAATAAATAGCCCTCCTCGGGGTCACACCATAAATAAGACGGTTGCACACGCATCGGGTGGGCGGGCGGGCAGCAAGACCTGAACGTTGCATTGCTCGTGCACAGACGTGCCCAGACGAACACCGAGACACGAGGGTGGGAGGGGGGGGCATGATGAGGGACCCCGTGCCCATGTGAGACGAGGCCACAGGACACGGGAGAGCTCCTGGTCCGACACGTCGACGCGGAGGGGCGGGGAGGTCAGGGCCACCTCTGGAGCAGCACAGGAGAGGAACGGTCTCGGGTCAAGCGCCGGCCGTGGGCAGGCGGGACCTGGCTTGGACCGGAATGTCTTTGGACAGACAGAGCTTGAGAAAACTAAGTCCCGTGAGAGCAGCGTTCAAAAAGGCACTCAAAGCAAAGGAACTGGGCCGGTGCCAAAGGCAAAAGTCACCAGGGGTCAGAGATCACTGCTTTTTGCAAGGAGCAGACGGCCCGGCAGAGCGGGCCCAGCACAGGGCCCGGGCATAGGGCAGGGGTCCCCTCCGGTTCCCACGGCCAGGGGCAGGCCCTGCTCACAAGCTCTCGCTGCTGGACGTGGTGCTGGCCCCATCGTCCGTGTCCAGGGCGCAGAGCCGCAGATCACAGCTCTCCGGGGTGCCCCCCTCAGCCCCCAGCATCCAGGGGTGGGCAGAGATCTGGTCCAGCGAGGGCCTCTCTGAGGGCCGCAGGGACAGACACCACTGAATGAGCTGCTGGCACTCTGTGGGGGAAGATGGGGTCAGGACAGGGCCGCCCCGCGACACCTCGCCGCCAGTGGCAGGCCCAGCCCCTCAGCGCACCTGGGGAGACCCTCCTGCGGAACAAGAGGCGGCCCCGGAGAATCTCCTCGTCCTGCTCGAAGGGAATGTCCCCGCACACCATGTCGTAGAGCAGCACGCCCAGAGACCACACGGTGGCCGAGCGCCCGTGGTAGCGGTGGTAGCGGATCCACTCCGGGGGGCTGTACACGCGGGTGCCTGGGGGACAAACGGGGCTTAGCAGACCGGCTGCCAGGTCGGCGCCTCACCAGGCCGGCAGCACGCGAACACCGAGACCCCTCGCTCCCAGCTGATCCTCTCCGCCTTGGAGCCGGGGGCCGGTCCTCATCCTGGAAAAACCCCGGCAGGCGTGGCCTCCCCCGGCGCCCGGCCGCCCCGCCCCCCGAGCTGGCCCGGCGCGGGAGGCGGGTCACATGAGCGCGGGGTCCGGTTTCACAACAAACAGATGTGAGGTGAGGATACCGAGAAGAGGAGGGGCAGGGAGCCCCGGCTTCCCCAGCACCGCAATGCGGGGATTTCTACGCGGCGCCCCCGCGTTCCGCACGCGCGCGGGGGAGGCCCGAGGCGGCGCCGGCCAAGAGGAGTCTGGAGTCCGCCCCGCGCCCCAACCTGCCGGACCCAACGGCCCGAGGCCCCGCTCTGGGCAAGCCAGCGCGGCGCGCGGCCCCAACAGTCGCCAGCCCCTCGGCCCTCGCCGCGGAGAGGGCGCTCACCGTCGAAGTCGGTGTAGACGGTGTCGCGGAGTAGCGCACCCGAGCCGAAGTCGATGAGCTTGAGCTCGCCCGAGCGCAGATCCACCAGCAGGTTCTCGTCCTTGATGTCGCGATGCACGACCCCGCAGCCGTGGCAGTGGCGCACGGCGGCCAACACCTGCGCGAAGAAGCGGCGCGCCAGGGCCTCGTCGAGCGCGCCCCGCTCCGTGATGAAGTCGAAGAGGTCTTGCGCCGGCTCGGGCCGCTCCAGCACCAGCAGGAAGCCGTCGGACCGCTCGAACCAGTCCAACAGGCGAATGACCCCGCGCGCGCCTCCGGCCGCGCCCACTTTGCGTAGCAGCACCACTTCCAGGGGCACAGCCGCGCCGGCCTAAGGGACACGGCGGTCAGCGCGCTCCGCCCGGCGCCCGCGTCCCCCGCTCCGCCCGGCGCCCCGCGCTCCCCGCCCACACTTACGATGCTGCCCCACTCGGTCACCCGCTCCTTCACCACGTGCTTCACGGCCACCTGGGGGGACGGAACCAGTGGTCAGGCCCACGCGGACGCAACGACACGCGCGGGCCGAGAATCCCGGGTGCCGGGCGGCCAGACTCACCGGGAGCCCGTCGGCGATGCGGCTGCCTGCGTAGACCGTGCCGAAGCCGCCGCTGCCCAGCACGGCGCCCACCTGATACACCTTCTCGAAGCTCTCCTTGTCTGCCTTGACTGTGGAGAACGCACGGGCGGGGTTGGTGTGACCGGGGAGCCCGGCCCCCGACCCCGGTGGACGCCCAACCTCGGTGCGCGCCCACACCCCCGGCCCCCGCATACCTGGCTGCAGGATTTTCACCGGGAGATGATCCACGCCGCCTGGTCCGCACAGGTGCGCCAAGGAGCCGAACTTGGAGAGCAGCATCGCGGGCGGCGGCCGGGCGCGGGCCCCCGGCCTCCGCGCCGCCTCTCGCCCGGCCCGGCTCCCCGCGCGGAGGAGGACGCGGGAGGACGGCCTCTTCGGGCCGCGCGTAGCCCCGACGCGGACAGCTGGCAGGTGCGCCGGGAGCGCCGGCCTCGGAACGCGGGCCTGTTCCGGCGAGGCCGTCAGCGCGGCGCACTGCCCGGCCAAGCCCCGCGTGGACCACAACGACACGCGCAGCAGGCCGAGCCGCTCACACGCCCGCACCGCCTCGCTCTGGGGTTTTGGGCCGCGGCCGCGCGTATCCCTCCGCGGGGGCGGGCCGAGCCTGGGCCCCGCCCCCTTCCGCCGGGCTGAGCGGCGGGGGTCGCCTCTGGAACCCGCGTAAGCTGCCGAGGCGACGGCAGGAAGAGGCCGGCGCGCCTTCCGGAGTGGGCGGGGGCGGGCAGGGGGCGCGGCGAACCGCCTGGGACTAGCTGGCGGGAGCGGAGTCGCGGAGGCGCACGGCACGGCGTGGCGCGTCACCTCTCCCCGTTCACACACGCCCCCGCGCATGCGCAGCTCCCGCGCGGGCGGTGGCCCGGGAGTGCGGGGCGGGGCCGCGGGAGCCAATGGGAGCCGGTGTTTGCAAAGGGCACGGGGCCCAGCCAGTGGCGTCGCGCGGACGGGGCGGGGCCAGGGCCCCTCCCCAGGCCGCGCCGGGAAGGTCACCGGCTACACCGGCCCGGCGAGGGCGGCTGAGCCAGGAAAGCGGCGGTGGGGTCTCGAGGAGCGGCGGGGGGCGGGAGGCGCCCCCGATACCCCAGGCTGTGCTCGTACCTCCCCGGCAGTCCGCGCACCCCGACGCGCCCGTGGCCTGGAGCGGCTGGCACCTCCGCCCCCTGGGGGACCCCGCCGGGCGACAGCGCCCCGGGCCTCGCAGCCCCCGGGTGGGCTGAGGCTCCACTCTGCCTACCCCGGGCCTTCGTTCTTACCCGGGCTTGACCTCAAAGGCCGCAGCCCGAGGTCCCTCCCTGACTCCGCCTCCCTCCCAGGAACTTTGCCCCGCTGACCCCGTGCCTGGAGAGCCCTCCTCTGCTCTCCATCCACCTGGTTGCCCTCCAGGCCCAGCTGCTGTCCACCTCTACCAAGGAGGCCACCTTGCCCGCCTCTGTCAGGGTCAGAGCCAGCCTAGGTCTTCAGGGCCCTCGTCTGGACCTGAGCCTGTCCTCTGCCTTTTGTATAGCACAGACTCATCCAACCCCACGGGTTGCCAACCAACCCCACGGGTTGCCAACCTCAGCCCAAGTCACCGGCCTGAGCAGCTCAGGTGTGAGCAGCCGTCTGCCAGCCCCAGTGGCTGAGCTCAGGACGTCCACTGCTTCCCACAGCCATCCCAGAGAGGGTTGAGGTTTGGGGGAGCCAGGAGGTCAAGGTACTGGTCCTTCTGGCATCGCAGGTACTCCCCGTGGCCCCTGGGGACCAGGCTGGGACCTAATCATGGCATCCACATCCCTGGGCCCATCAGAGGTTACCTTCAGGTGTGACCTCCAGGCATGTGTACTCACCTGCCTCAGGGGCCCTGGCCAGCCTGCTGGCTCCCTCAGCACACCCAGCCTACCCCAAGTCACATCCCTTAGCTGCCACGGTCACTCTCCCAGGGCAGAGAGTGGACCCTCCACTGGTACAGCTCTTAGGTTTTTATCTTTCTGGAGCTCTGTCCACCTCCCTCCTGCGATGTGGACCCATAAAGGCAGGGCCAGGGCCGGCCAGTTAACCACAGTCCCCAGGCCAGTACAGGGTTCCTCATGGGGTCAGATCCAAGGCAGGATGCCTGCCCCTGAAGTGGAATCCAGGGACTCTTGTCTTCTTGTGGGTTTCTCCAGGGGACCACTGGATGGTCCTCAGAGGCTTCCTCCTCAGATCAGGCTGCAGGTGCCTGGACCCACAGCCTGTCCTGGGCTAGGGAGGGCGGGAGTGCCGGAGAGCATCCTGGGTCTAGGTGTCAAGATGTGACTCTGAGGGCAGTTCCAACTTAGCCGACAGGGGCCGAGGTTCCCTGTGGCCTCCCCTCTGGGCCTCCAGACCTCCCATGTGAACCTGCAGGCCAGTCCTCCTTGGGTGTCCTGGCCTGTGCGCCCAGCTGGTCCCTGGCCTTGAGAGTCAGCCTTGGGAGGCCAGCATCCTGGGGCTGAGGGCCACCCCCTGCACCCCACCAGCTGCAGAGTCTTGATCTGAAGACCCTGAGTCTCCCCAAACTCAGAGCAGGATTCGCTCTCCTTCAGAAAGGGGCAGTGTGTGTCCCTCCTCCCCCAGCCCTGAAGCTGGGCTGAGCCACCTGTGGAAGCCCCTGGGGACTCTGGGAGTGGCAAGGGGTCCCCTGCTTAGTCTGGGAGTGGAGGACAGAGCAGGAGGCAGCCTCTTTCCTGAGATGGAGGTTTACTCAGAGCCTTCATCTCGTCCAGACGTGTGTGTTCTGGATATTCTATCGTGTGTGTGTGTGTGTGTGTGTGTGTGTGTGTGTGTGTGTGTGTGTGTGTGTGTGTGTTGCATGGACTGTGAATCCCTGAGGGTCAGAATGGACTTGGACACCCCTCCCTACCAAGGGCTGTTCTGCAGGGAGGCCTCTTTCAGGCCCAAGCTGGCCCAAGGAATAGGCTGGGCAGGGGGCTGGCATCTCTGCCTGTGCAGCCACCCAGGGCCCATGTTTCCTCAGCACTGGGGGCCCCCAGTACCCAAAGTGACCCCGTGTAATGGGCAGGACTCAGGCAAGGTGCTGCCCACCTCCCCCTGCTCTTACCCTGCAGGCAGACATGACCCACCCGTTTCTCAGCTTGGCACATCGAGGCTCTGGGGTGTTCCTCCTTGTACAGGGAGGCAAGGCCAAATCTGAGCCCCAAGGGCCTCTTGCCCTTCTGCCCCGGGCATGGCCCTTGGTCAGTAACCCCAGGCCACCCCTTCCCTGCAGTTCTGATCCACACTCCACTTCCAGCCACACCCCCAGCAGTGCAGGATGTCAAACCCTGCCTGTTTTTTCCTGGTTCCTGGAAGGCCCATCCGGTGGGCCTTAAAAATAGCTCTGGGCCCCACAGTCAGGCCTGGCCCAGGTCAGCAACTTCATGGGCCACAGAGCTGGGGCCACTCCTGCAGATGGCAGGGAGAGGCCCCCAGGAGGAGGGCTCAGCTGAGGTTGAGGCACCAGGCCACCGCACTGACCACAGAGGTCAGGCCCGGTCCCTTGGCCTCCCACCATTCCTTGGCGTGCCCGAGGCTCAGGCCAGCATGTTGTGAGCACCTGCCTCCATGGGGCCATCCTCCTGAGAGGGGCAGCCTCACAGCAGGGCCAGGTGCCTCTTCAAGTTCCCAGTGGCCTCTCAAGGGAGGTGTTTCCTTAGTGGGGGGAGCAGCTTGGATCTTCCCAGGGGGCTGCACCCCACCCCACCCTGGAAGCAGCCTACCCCGACCCTGCACAGCCAGCCCCACAAGGTAGCCCTGTCCTGCTGGCGGGAGGGGCGGCTGTTGCCATGGTGACTGGAGCCAGGCTATCCTCCCCAGACGGGAGGAAGAGGAGGCTGGGCAGCAGATAGCCTTGGCCAGCACCCTGTCTTCCATCCACACACATCAACACTCATGGACACACGCTTACAGACACGCCCACAGAGCTGGGCGTCACAGCAGGGAGCACGGGGGGGTGGGCACTTACTCCGGGTCAGGGCCCTCACCCCCCTTGTCCCCCCATGTCAACAACCAAGGCCTCCTCAACTGGCCCCTTTCCAGCTGCCCCTGGACATCCCACAGGTTTGCTCGGCCCAGCCCTGGGCCTCTCCATGCCCCTCACCCCAGGCCATGCCTGGAGGACCTCCGCTTGCTCCTCAACCCTGTCTGTGCTCCCGTGGTCCCCAGGTCTCCCCAGTGCCCGCCGTCAGCACACCATCATCGTGCCTCCAATCCTCCAGGGCCGCTCCAGCCGTCAGGGTCCGTCCCGGTGACTTGGCCCACAGTCACAGCTGTCCCCCTGAGCCCCGTCCAGCCTCCACTCCCACTGCAGGAACTCCTGGCCCGCCGGGCCTGACCCCTCCCCAGCCCATAGGGCCTGGCTCGACAGCACCCAGCTTCACACCAGTGCCACCCCTGCCCCGACCCCAAACTGGGCTCTGGGAGCCCTGGGGCCTGGCTCTGCCTGCGTGTCGCATGGAAAACCCCCGGCACAGGGCCACAGCCTGGCTGAAGCGGGAGGGGCCTTCCCTCTGGCCTGCTCTCGCCTCTGTCCTGGCCTCTCACCCACCAGCGAGGGGAGTCAGCAGAGCCAAGCCAGGGTTTTGCAATGTTCCCCCAAAGGCAACTGGGGTAGGGCCTGGGCTGGGGCTGGGGTGTCCCTCAGTGGGAGCTGGTGGGTGGTGGCCTGTGGGAACTCTGGTCGCCCCGCCCAGGAGACCCCAGCCTGGCCTGACTCAAGGCCAAGGCTGGCCCAAGTTCAAGAGCTGCCATTCCCTCTGGGCACCCCCCCTGCTGCCACTGTACAGCATTCACACCTTGAGAGCCGCCCACGGCCTGGCAACGGTCACCTGGACTCTTGGCCAAGGGGACCCCGAAAAACGAACAAGGGAGCACCCGGGCCCAACCCAGGGAAAGGCTGGGGTCCCAGTGGGCCTGACTGCAAATGCAGCTGGACCAGAGCGCCCAACACCGGCCTTGGGGGTGGCGGTGATGGGAGCAGTGACAACCCATCGGGGACCTGCCTGGGCTGCAGGGGTCCTCTCCTCACCTGGCTTCCAGCCCGGCACTGGGGCCAGGCCCCCGCAGGCCGTGAGCACAGCCTTGGCACTGGACCAGCTCCCTGGCCACTTGGCTGGGGCCTCACATCTCTCACCGCCCCCCTGCCTGGGTGTCCTCACCTGTGGGGCTCTGGCCACCCCCGTGCAGGGCTGTGTGGAGGAGCCAGTGAGACGCCTGTGACGTGCTTCTGGGGCGCACAGTACACGCGTGCTACACGCGGCTGTGACGGCTCTAGCTGTTGTCCTGTGCAGAGGCCCCAGATTTCCAAGGGAGAGCCTAGGGGCTCCCTGGGATGGGGAT